GCCATATGCAGAGGCAATTAACAGTTCAGTTCCGGGTTGTGGCAATGAACCAGGATAGGGAACAGGTGCTGGAATTATCTGATCTTTACTAGGAATGGCGTTGATGACCCCAGGCGGTGATTGGGTGATGAACAAAGGATTGGACACTGTTGAAGGGATGAGTTGTGATGACGTTGGAGCTGGTTGGTCAATGTGCATCAAGTTCTGAGCGGCAGGAGCTGAAGCTGCAGGGGCCACGAGAGTGTGAGAAGAGGATAATGTATGGACAGAGTTTTGAGGCACAAAGGGGGGGGCCTCAGGCTGCATACTTATTTTCCTGTCTACTTGTAGTTCCGGAGGGGGTTCTGGCGATAGGTCACTCTGGGTGTGTGGTTGAGCAGCTATGGTGGTATGTTCAACTGATAAGGTGGCTGGCAGCGGAGCTGATAACTGAAGGTAACTCCCAGATTGTGATGGGGGTTCAGGAGAGACTGCGTTGGTGTCAGTCGTAAGCATAGATGTGATTAATTTGGCCAGCTCTAGGTCTGACTCAGCCTGCTTCAGACGTCGACTCCTGTCGAGGCGCTTGGTTAAAGCCTCCTTTGCTTGAAGTGCCTCCTCTTGAGCTTGCTGTGCTGCTCTCACCTTGGTCAGCAACTGCTGTTCTTCTAGGTCAGCCTGTTGATCCTCCTCCATCTGCTGGCGAAGGCAGTCTAGTTGGCGCTGTTTAATGGTTTCCTCCAGTATAGCATTCTGGACAGGAGAGAGACCCTTTGTTGGATAGGCTCCACTGGAGTGAGTNCAACTTATCTTTATCAATTTAAAAGAAAATTGAAAAAATGTTATGACAAACAAAAGATTTATTAGTCAATATTTAAGAAAACGTGCATATTGTGTAAATTGAATAATGATGAATAAAGATGGTAAAACTCATTGAGAGTAATATTTTTTAAAATTGGATTTAATGTGTTTTTCCTGTATTTTCAACTTTCTGTCTCTACATTAAAATGAAACTGTTCAGAAAAATGAGAAGGATTTTATTTTGTGAGTGGTGTTGTGAAATCTGCGGGGGATGAAACAATTAGTCCCCCCAGGATAAATTGCTTTCACATGGGAGTATTCCTAAACTCTGTGGAATCCACCACCATATCGAACAGCTTCTGTCATGATCTTTCTGAACCCTGAGTAAGTGTTCAGATGTTGTACTGGAAAAGTCACTGTACATTGCACTCACAACTGGATAGAAAATGGAGTGCTCCCCTAGACGCTCCCTGCACTCATGGTCAAACGTCAGAGTTATTTTGAAATGTTGTTTTTCATTAGGAAGGATGGGAATGTGGGCTTGCCCTGTCATCCACTGAAGCACATGCTGGACTGTTAGAGACTCTGACCCTTCTGCTGCAGAACTTGCTGTTACCCTTTCTAAGAAAAAAACGTGTTTTAAATACAATTTATTAAAAGCACTCCAATATTTTAATATTTGAACTTTTACATATTTTGCGTGTTGTAGTAGAACACCTCTACATTAACAGGATAACACTGGTTGAAGTGGCCAGCATGGACAGGTGATTCCGGTCAGAGAATCCGAGACTGGAGAGTTGCAGTATCCAACATTTATTTCTCTTTGTAGATTCAACAGCTTATCCATCTAGTTGGTATGCTATGCTTGTTCTCTGCAGCAGAAGGTGTTGGAGAATGAACCCGGAAGGGATTGTAACCAACTTCATAGTCCTCTAAGTGAGAGGGAAGACGACTTGTTCTCTGAGGTCTGTTATTGTGTTCTTCTACTTCTGTCGCTGCAGCATCCATACTGTTCTAATGTTACTTCAATCCGGCTCGAAGGACCAAAATTTAATGTAGTAGAACACCTCTACATTAACAGGATAACACTGGTTGAAGTGGCCAGCATGGACAGGTGATTCCGGTCAGAGAATCCGAGACTGGAGAGTTGCAGTATCCAACATTTATTTCTCTTTGTAGATTCAACAGCTTATCCATCTAGTTGGTATAGGTTTACAAGAGAACAAGGAGTATCTGCATGCAAAGGTGCATGTGGGTGTATATGTGTGTGTGTAGGTGTGTGTAGGTGTGTGTAGGTGTGTGT